AAAGTTGACTGGGATGCTTTGGACACTTAAAAATGAAATTAGATTGTGGTGTGGGTTGTTGCTGCCATGCAAGTGCAGTAAAACAGAAAATCAAAAGCAGATGACTGGCTCTCTTCTGTAAAATGAAAAAAGGTTAAAACATGAGGTCATGGTGGGAGTAAACTAACTGACTGTGAAACTTGACTTGGGCAAAGGGACATTTGCAAAACATCCGGGCACAAAATATTAGGCCTGGCTCAAAAGTTCATAAAGCAACTTAGACCTCATAAATTTTAAAAGACTCCTGGTTTGGGCTACAGGAGGAATTAATAACGTGATTGGTAGAAAGTTTTGTTCAAGTGTGAAAGGACAATTAAATTTCAATTTAAAAAAAAAAATCCAGGTTGCAGTGCAACAGTGTCTGTTCCCAGGTGTGGAGGAGTTGTCTAAGGCAGCGGTCTCCAACCCTTCCAGTTTTGCACACCGATGGGGGGTGGAGGTGGGGGAGAGGGGATGGTTCTGCGTGAGCAGTGGGTGAGCAGGCGCAGGTAGCTCCATTTACGCAAGCAGAGGGCACATGCGCCTGCTGCTCGCATACATGGAGCTGCATTCTTGCCTGCCCGCTGCACGCACAAGTAGAACTGCGCACACGGTCCAGTTCTGAACGGGCCACAGCCCCGGGGGGATTGGGGACTCCTGGTCTAAGGAAGCAGTTTCTCTGGATGTCTTCCATGTCCATTTTGTTGAGATGTGGTTAAGATGGTGAAGCCTCTATCTCAGTAACTCTGCCTGCAAGAAAAGCCCACAGTGACTCCAGCATTTCTACCTGCGCCTTTTTCGCCAAGCCCCGAAGGCCCATCTATTCCGTGCAGCCGGCCTGGCGTAGTTTGATTATGTTTTAGTGGGGGTTTTGTATGGGGTACTTTTAGAGCAGGCCTGTTATTTAATTTGATTTTAGAACAGAAACTTGTGTATATTTATCGTGGTTTTTATTATCGCCTGTTCACCGCCCTGAGTCCCGTAAGGGAGATAGGGCGGTATATAAATTCAATAAATAATAATAATACTTAGAGAGAGAGAGCAAAGGATGGAGAAAGCCTGAATGCTGCCTGAGTTCCAGAGACAGTCTGGGAAGATGGACCTAGAATAAGAGGAATCCCTGGTCCACAAGTCTCCCCGCCCCATTTTGTGCAAAGGAACTCTTCAAGGCCTGTGCAGGGAAAGTGGCCTCTTGTAGCCTCCTGCTGCTCCAGGTCAACTGAAGAGAACATGGCTCTTGGTGTTCAGCTAATTAGGCAGGGTTGAAGCATCTACCAGGAAAGGGCAAGTGACATCGTACGCATCTTGACGCTATCACGCAAAGGAGGCCTATGATGTCATTTGCGTCATTGCGACTGCGTCCAGACAACTGGTGGTAACAAGCACATGGGCAGGTTGGAGACACACTACGCTGAGCTGGGTTGTGGTCGCTAGTTTTGACTTGACCTTGCAGAAAAGTCAGTGAATGATCCGTGGACACTTTTAGGGGAATCGGACATTGCTTCAAACCATAGTTATGGTTTGAGCTTCCTCTTCGCGGTTGTAGCTCTGTACGGCGTTTAATGGGTTTGCAGATTCCTTGCAGTTAAAACTACAAGGCAAGAACAGATTAAAAAGGAAGGGAAACATAGAACAATGATTTTTTTTAAATCATTTGGCTTGATCAGCAAATCAGGTCCAAAGCAGATTGGGGCTTAATATGATGTGTGATTATTTTGAATGTTGAGATCGTCTTTGCTCCAAGATCTGGAATGGTCTAAAAGTGAGTTCACACAATATGCTCAGCGTTACAGGAGGCCATCATTTTCTTAAAATGATGTGTGGAAGCCACTATGTTACATCAGGATATGGGCTTCAGGCAGCCCCTGCGCTTTGCCACTCTCATTTAGAGCAGAGGTCCCCAACCTTTTGGGCACCAGGGACCTGCTCCGTGGAGAGAGGTTTTTCTGTGGACCGGAGGGTGCGTGGTTTTGTATGCTGCCTGCATCTTATGGATGGGGCTTTGCTTGTTGGTGCGGACCGGTTGCTGGCATGCTGCGGACCGGTACTGGTCCACGGACTGGGGGTTGGGGACCCCTGATTTAGAGTGCCTGTTTGGCCTAGTGCCGTGGTGGCGAACCTATGGCACGGGTGCCAGAGGCGGCACTCAGAGCCCTTTCTGTGGGCATGCGCACCATCGCCCCAGTCCTAGGCCTTCAGCTGGGTTTTATAAAACCTTTTCGCTTTAGGCCTCGGCCGCCGTGTGCAAAAAAAAAAAAAGGTTCAATCAATCAATCAATTTCAACTTCTCACGGAAAAAAAAGATCTCACAAAGTTGGAATTGATTGATTGAACTTTTTAGTCCCACCCAGTCTGCCGTTACCACCGCAGCCATGCCCACCCAATGGGCCACGCCCACCCGGCACCCGACGATACATAAGTGGGTTTTGGGTTGCAGTTTGGGCACTCGGTCTCTAAAAGGTTCGCCATCACTGGCCTAGTGGTTCAGGCCTCAGGCTAGAAACACCGGGAGGTCTAGTTCCATCTTAGGCACATACCCAGCTAGGTGACCTTGGGCCAGCCGCGTTCTCGCAGCCCTAGGAAGGAGACAGCGACCGAGCCCTTCTGAAATCTTGCCGAGAACCTTGCAGGAACTTGTCCAGGCAGTTGCAAGAGTCAAAAGACCGATTCTAATGCACGGAAAGAGAGACACTGCCTCGTTTAGGGTTTAGCATGTTGTGCGTCACCAACTACAGATTGCCCTGTGCAGCTTGATCCTTCTTGTCAACGTTAGGAGTTTTCTAGGCACAATCCCTCTCCCACTGTTCTTTCATGGAACAAGAAAAGAAAAAGAAAAAAAACAGCCCCAGCCTTTGCATAGGCAAACATTTTACCCACCCTGCTTGTCTCCCATTCCCACCGTGTGTATGTGTGTGTTTGTGTGTGCGCTTGTGTTTTCCCTCCAAAAACATCTCATCTGTTCCAGAGAGAGAGAGACAGCTGCCTCCTCCACAGTCGTTTTCACCTGTCTGGAAGGTTTAGCCTCCAGCCATAACAGCTTAGAGACGTTTGGAAGATGTCATTGTGGGCTGATGGCTGGTGGCATCTTCCACAGCGCAGCTGTCCCGGCCTGGAGGAGGAAGCACGGGAAAGTCCAGGCTTGGGAGGAAGACGGTTTTGGCAGGGAGAAAGTGAACCTGCTCTTCCATGACGGAAAGGATATTCCAGACACTGCAAAAGCAGCGTCCGTGGGGAGCGATCCCTTTTCTTCCTTTCAGCCTTCCTCCAGGGAGGCAGGGGCTGCGCCCATTCCTGCCTTCCCTCTTCCCCATCTCGACTTCTACTCCAGGGATGTCCACAGAAGTCCCCCCCCAAAAAAGGCACAACGCAGGCAGTCCTCAACGACCATAATTGGACCCCGAAATTTCTGCCGTGAAGTCAGTTTTGCCCCATTTTACGACTTCTCTTGCCACAGTTGTTAAGTTGAATCCCTCCAGTTCTTAAGTGAGTCACAAGGTTGTCAAGTGAATCTGGCTTCCCCATGGACTTTGCTGGTTAGAAGGTCGTAAAAGGGGAACACAGGACCCCGGGGACACTGCAACTGTCATAAATAGGAGTCAGTAGCCAAGCGTCTGAATTTGATCGCCTGTTCAGGGGATGCTGCAACAGTCGTAAATGTGAAAAATAGTCACAAGTCGCTGTTTCTAGTGCTGTTGTAGCTTTGAGCGGTGACTAAACAAACTCGTAAGTCGAGGACTACCTGTATTATCTCGAGTTGACCCCCACCATCTATGGGGCAGGGCAGGTTGAATTGTTTCTAACAGAAGGGACCCAGATGCGCCGTGCCCTGTTTGGGACCAATTGCTCCAGAAAATATAGATGAAATATATAGAATACACACCAATTATGCAAGAAGAAATAACTTGTCTAAGGAAGTGCATATCAGATTTGTTAAGAAGTCAGTCAGAGATGAGATTTTGCATAGAACTAGAGATGACCCAATAGAATGTAAAGAAAAACAACTAATAGTTTTTCAGCAGGTCCCCAGGAGGGTAAGAGATCTTAGAAGACCTTATCAACACATCACATCGAAACTAATAAGGCAAAATATTAACTTTAGGTGGCTGATGCCGGAAGGGATTCTGGTGACCTGACAAGAAAGAAGTTACAGGCTGGATACGATAAATAAAGCAGAAGAGTTTTCTCAGCAATATCTAGGTAGTGAAGATGAATTAGAACAGGGCTTTTCAACCAGTGGTACGGGTACCACCTGTGATACATTGGCACCTGGCAGGTGGTACGCGACCATCCTAGAAAAGTGGTAGTGGGGGAGGGGAATGAGCTGAACCGGTGGCAGCACCGCACAAGCCTGAGCGAGAGATGGCTGGAGCTGCAGGGCTGTCAGGGCTCAGCGGAAGCGCCAGGATCAGTGCCACTTTCCAGCTGATCGACGCTTCGGGGCTGTCAGGGCACAGTGGAAGCACCAGGATCAGCGCCAGGCTTCAGCTGGAGCTCAGTGCTGATCCTGGCACTTCTGAGCCCAGAAGAAGCGCCAATCAGCTGGAATGTTGCAACATCTCCAGGGTCTTGTGATTTACATTCAGATGCTTGGCAACTGATTCATATTTATGACGGTCACAGTGTCCCGGGGTCATGTGAAGTGACCAAAACCTGCTGCAACCACCCAGCAGATGGGGAGAATAAAAACCAAACATCCCCCACCCCCACTGCCAATCCTCAACAGAAATTCTCACAACAATGGAAACCTCGGACAGGAGGAAGAGTGCCGCCGGGTGGGCAGGCAGATGTCTTTCTCGGCTGTGGCTTGGGGGGCACTTTTTTCAGGGCCATTGTAACTTCAAACAGTCACTAAGTGAACTGTTGTAAGTCGAGGACTACCTGTACTTTTATCACTTTTTTCCTTTTTTTTTTTTTTTTGGTCATCAAGTTTTTGACATCTTGCTAGGTGACTGGTGGTACTCGGATGCTGCCATAGCCTAAAAGTGGTACAATGGGTGAAAAGGTTGAGAACCACTGAATTAGAAGAAAGAGAACTAAGAGAAGAAGATATTACAGAGAGACACAACAGAAAGGTACGAGAAACGCAAGTTGCTTGGTCCTCATTGCAATGTTTTTGCTTCCTTGCAGGTGGGTCCGGGGAGAACATTACAGGTACAAGTTCAGCCAGCCAGGTGGGCAGCACGCCCAGCAGCAGAAATGGTGGATCCGTAAGAGGCTTGGACCCTACTTCCCGCCCGTCAACCTTCAGGGTCTGAAGAAGTTTTTCAAAGCTCGAAACTGGCCTGAACCAAAGCAGAGTTGAGCAGAGCCCATTGGAGGTCCAGAATTACCGCCTGTTCTGTCTTTGGCCCTCCTTTGAGTTGTGTGCGTTCTCTGTTGTCAATAATTCACAGCAGGCAACCACCAGCCCTCTCTAAAGCCCACCAGGCCAGGGATAAAAACGTTGGGATTTCTTTTCTACATTTGGGAGGTTGAGGCTGAAATGGATGCTCTGAACATTACTTGGAAATGAATGGGGGGGGGAATGAAAATTCTTGTCAATCAATAGGTTTTAGCTTTTCTTACCTTCTTGATTAGCTGAACAGGAGGACTTTTTCAAAGATCAGCCAGGTGTAGACACACAAAATGCAATAATGGGATGTGTTAACAGGCCCTGAATGTTAGCAAAATCAGCAGCACGGGAGGAGGTAATATTTACGATGAGAGGGAGAGCCACAAGATATTCAGAAGATAAAGGGTTTTTCTTTTAAAAGGAAAACTCTTTTAATCTAACATCTGTCTAGAGCAGCTGGATGTTTAGTTTGAGAGTTGGGCTAATCGCACAGAAATTGTTATATTAGATGTACCGTTTAAATGAAATTTAACTTCTGTCCAAGAGCCAACAACTTCTTTCCCTCCCACCAGCTTTTGGAAGAGTGAGATCCTCCCCCACCTTGTAAAAAATTAGGTTGCAGAAGTTTGGATTCAGGGATCACAAAAGCTGTTGGTTCAACTGATTTCTGCCTAAAGTCAGCTTAAATCGGTCGGTGGTCTTTTAAGCAGCAATCATACATACCCTTCATACAAAGTCATAGATACAAAATTGAGATTAAACGCAAAAAAGGCTAAAGCCTCATGATATTTCATGGGGCTGCATAAAGATCTACTAAAATGTTGCTCAGCTCAGGAATTTTGGCCAAGCTAATTTGCACACAGGGACAAGAGGGACAAATACTACTGGTAATAACTAGCTTTAATTTCATTTTTAGCTCCTTGGGCGCCATCTAGCGTTGATTTGCTTACTATATCAGTAGGACAGTAACTAGGAGGGTTTTTTCCTCTTTTCCTTCTACTATTTTTTCCCCTTTGACACCTTTCCCCTCTTTCTCCAGCACAGCCTCTGGGGAAGGGAGGCAGCTCCCACCAAAGTCCTGAATCCATCCCTTGCAAAAGGCAGCTGAAATCCAGCTGAGGGCTGCTGGTTGACCAATTAGTGCTTGGTTTGTGAGTAAGTTTTGCCCACAACCCACTGGGGATTCTTTAATATTTTTATTTGGCATTTGTTTATATCTGAGCACAGTACAAGACCAATTTTTGGGAAAGCTAAGGCAAATCAACCTTTTTTTTTTTAAACTCTTCCTTCAAGAGCAGGCAGCATTGAAATACACCTTTAATATTCAGAGTTCAAATGCATAGAAAATGATTTTTAAAATCTTCTATTTTTCATTTACTGCCCACCGGTGGTCAAAATTTGAAGGAATTTGTCCAAATGACTGTGTACATTCTGCCTGATATGTATTTTTAGATCTAACGGGGTATCTGGTTCTCCTTACAATGGGACTAATAGAACACAAGGATCAGTCCCAGTTAAAAATCTTCATATCCAGAAAAATCTCTGTTTCACATGAAAAAAGTTATCATTCTTTTTCTAATATTTCCATCTGATTAATACACCGTAAACTTTATTAAACTGAGATTAGTGAGAAGCTCAGCTCTATAAGTTTGTCTAATTAAAGCCATTTGTCTTAATTGCTTCATTGAAATTGCAGGCAAGAAATTCTATCTACAGGAATGAAGAAGAATGGGTGGCAATTAATTGGCCAGTGACTTCTAATCCCTGCAACTTCCAAGAGCATTAAAGTCACAAAGACATTATTCTCCTTCATACTCCTGTTTGTGAGGGGTTATTTTTAATGTTAAAAATGAAGAGGGGTCTTTTTCTGCTTTTCCTTCTTGTCTTTCCCCTCCTATTCCTACTTGGTGCCTTAATCACTAGGCCAGACTCGGGGGGGGGGGGGTGTCTTCTAAATCTAATAAAATCAGTAAGATTCTTCTAAAATTTATCTATTTCCCATACTAAGGAAATCCACTAAGCTACGCTCTTCAGCATTGCTGGAGACATCTCAATGGGCAAAACAAAAAAGGGTGGCAGAATCCTATAATATCACTTGGAAATAACAGAATAACAGAGCTGGAAGGGACCTTGGAGATCTACTAATCCAAATCCCTGCTCAAGCAGGAGAACATATCATTCCAGACAGGTGGCTGTCCAGTCTCTTCTTAAAAGCCTCCAGTGATGGAGCAGCCACAACTTCTGAAGGCAAGTCATTCCACTGGTTAATTGTTCTCATCGTTAGGAAATTTCTCCTTAGTTCCAGGTTGCTTCTCTCTTTGGTTAGTTTCCATCCATTGCTTCTTTCTTGCTTTTTGGTGCTTTGGAAAATAAGTTGACCCTCCTCTTCTTTGTGGCAGTCCCTCAAATATTGGAATACTGCTATCATGTCACCCCTAGTCTTTTCACTAGACTAGACATACTAGGCAACTATTCTTCATATGTTTTAACCTCCAGTCCCCTGATCATCTTCGTTGCTCTTCTCTGCCTTCTTTCCAGAATCTTTTTTATATCGCGATGACCAAAACTGGATGCCATATTATCCAAAGCCCCTGAGGGCAGGGTAGGAAGGGTGGAAGCTTGTTAAGGAGAGAGCCAACCTAGTATGGAGAAATTTTCCAACACTGATTGCAATTAATCAGTGCAATAGCTTGCCTCCCCGAGTTGTGGGTGCTCCATCACTAGAGGTTTTCAAAAATAGACTGGACAACCGTTTAACTGGGATGGCATAATGCTCCTGCCTTGGGCAGGGGTTGGATTAGAAGACCACTGAGCACCTTCCAGCCCTAGAACATATTCTATGACACTGGGCTTGGATGATCACATATTCCACAGCAGGGGCTGAAGTGGGCTGGCCCTTCTCACAAAGCCAGTTGCCAGCCCTGGGCCCATAGGTGAGGCCCTCAGGGAATGCCTAGAACAGGGGTAGGCAACCTTGGCTCTTTTATGACTCGTGGATTTTAACTCCCAGAATGCTGGCTCAGGAATTCTGGGAGTTGAAGTCCACGAGCCATAAAAGAGCCAAGGTTGCCTACCCCTGGCCTAGAAGCACGCAAGTTACTTTGAGGTAAGATGGGCGGCCTATACGTTTTATAAATAAATAACATAGATTCTTTGCAGAATCTTTTTTTGGTTAAAGAACACAACAGTTTAAAATCCAGGGCTGTTTTATTCTTATGATGAGGTTTGGTGGGGTTTTCCTTTTCCTGCTATTTGGGACTTTGGATTCGTTGATTATTATGAACCTTGGTCTGTTGCCATGGAAACCTGGCCTATACAAAAAAGAGCTGCATGAAAAAAAAACACTACATTTTGGGGATTCTTGCAGGGATGTTTGCTGTCAAGCAGCCTTTGGGCTGGCTGTGCATCAGGTTCCCCCTTCCATCTTTTGCTTCTCCCTGCCTGATCTGCCCAAAGGAGCCCATCGGAAGCCCTTCTTTACCCCGGTGCCCGTCCTCTGCTGCTGCCCTGAGCACAGACGCTTGTTACAACTCAACAACTCGCAGCTGCAGGGCCTGTGAAGAGAGGCACCATCTGCACTGGCTTCATCATGATGTTTTTTAAAGATGAGATTTCCAGCTGCCTCTCCTAGCCCTGGCATGGGAGAAAGTTACTGATTGCCGAACAGATAGAGATGATTATTAAATTCTTGGTTTCCCCTGGCTTCTGTCTTGTACCTATCTCAAAGCCCCAGGATAGTGACCATCCTTTCTTGACATCCTGAGTATAAAAATAAGGCCGTAGAAAAATAAAGCACCATTATGCTCAAAGAGGTTAGAAGAAATATTTGGAAATCTAAAGGGTCCTTTAAAAACAATAATCTCATCCAAAATCAGTGATGGCGAACCTTTTAGAGACCAAGTGCCCAAACCGCAAGCCAAAACCCACTTCTTTATCACAAAGTGCCAGGGCCGCATCAGCCTTGCGCCCTTGGGGGAGGGGGCAGGGAGGTGCCTCCGAGTGCTGCCTCTGGCATGCAAAAACCAGGGGCGCAAAACGGGCCACCGTGCTGCAAGGCACAAAAACGGCTGCTGCCGCACCGCAGTGTGCAGGTACAAGGTGCTGCACCACACAAAAACGGGGCAGGGCTAATGAGGATCACGCAGGCACTAGTCCTGCCCCATTTGCAGCACGTGCGTGCTTGTGGCCCCGTGCACACATGCACACATATAAAATGCTTCCCCCTCCCTTTTCTTCCAGTCCACCAATCGACAATGGTCAGTGACCTCTACTTGAGCTTGCTAGTCACCCACTTCGCCTCCTTTGTGCTGGGCAGGGCTCCTGCTCCAGGCGGCGGTGGTGGCCTGATGGACCTGCTGCTGGCGGGGGTGGTGGCGCGCGTGCCAACAGAGAGGGCTCTGAGTGCTGCCTGTGGCACGCATGCCATAGGTTCGCCACCACTGTCCAAAATAATCCATCTATCAAGGACTGAACATGACAGTTAGTCTAGGGACATCCAGGAGGGCAAGGGGCAGCATCTTGTCAAAAAAGTCAAGAGGGTAGCTTTGATTGCATGGTCAACTTTGACCTTATCACAGAGGGAGAGAGGGAGGAGGAGGAGGAGGTGGAAGGAAGGAAGGAAGGAAGGATTCTGTAATTGACTACATGTGCGGGTAGGGAAGAAAAAGCAACAGAAAACCCAAAGGTTTCCTGGGCAGATCTTAGATTTCAGATCTAGTTTTGTTTGGGCCATTGTTTCCTACTTCCTTGATATCTTAGGGATATAACAGCTGATTGGACTGACCAAATGCAACTTTTGGGACTGTGTCAATTTCCAGCCAAGAAGACAGAAGCATAACCTTGGCGGAAGCCTCCATCCCACCCCTCCCTGGTCAGAAACTCCAGCGGAGGGGGGGGAGGTAGATTTCAGCAATGACCACCAAGATAGCAACCAAGATTTGGAGCAAGCCATCTACTTGGTTTCCTGTTTCTTTTTTATATATGTATAATCAAAATAAATTAGCTGGATTATCCTGGATATAATTCATCTCACAACCTAAAATTAGCTGCAACCCTCGCAGCTAGCCCTGTGTTTTAATAAAGGTACAAAGTCTCTTTCTTGTGCACACATACATACACACACCGCGCAAACAAATGCCCACAAATTGCCTTATTCAGCTGCATGTGCTGGGGCCTTGTCTTCCGCAGCT